TTTCTGCCCTGAGCTGGGATTTCTGTCCCAGGGCTGGGATTTCTGTCCTGAGCTGGAATTTCTGTCCTGGGCTGGGATTTCTGCCCTGAGCTGGAATTTCTGCCCTGAGCTGGGATTTCTGCCCTGGGCTGGGATTTCTGCCCTGAGCTGGGATTTCTGCCCTGGGCTGGGATTTCTGCCCGAGGTTGGGATTTCTGTCCTGAGCTGGGATTTCTGTCCTGAGCTGGGATTTCTGCCCCAGGGATGGGATTTCTGCCCTGAGCTGGGATTTCTGCCCTGAGCTGGGGTTTCTGTCCTGCTGTGTGAGGATTGCAGGTGAAGGCTGCAGAGTTTTCACCACGCTGTTGGTTCAGCAGTTGCCTGAACTGACCCAGGATGTGTCCATGTGCTTCCCACTGCTTCCAGGGGTAAAACAGGAGCTGCTCTGGGATTTGCTGTCTTCCTGGGAAATGGGAACTGTTCTTTGGTTTGGTTTCAGCGCTGCCCTGGAGGAAGAAGCCCAGCCCTTCGTGCTGCTCTGTGACTAGTGACCCCCCTGCCTTTTATCTTGGATTCCCTTGGCTTGCTTCAGTTGGACTCGATCATCTTAAGTTCTTTTACAACCTGAAGAATTTTGTGATCTGACTGATGGAGCACTGGCTGTCCCTAAAAAAGCCCATCCTACGTGATTTGTAAGAGTGGGATAGAGAACAGAGCCAAGAGGCTCCCACCAAACACAGCTCCCCCAGCCCTGCTTCGACCTGGAGCTGCACCAGGAGGGACCAGCACATCCCAGTTTCTCCTGGGAGCTGGGAATGAGGACAAGGATCACAACCCTGCCATGTCCCACACATTGGGAACACAGCTTTTCCTCTCCACAAGCTCTGGTTGGGATGCCCCTGCTGCTGTTGCCTCCCCAAGAGGTGTTCCTCCCCCATCTCCTTAAATCCTGTGTTTACAAGAGACTGGCAAAAATAAAAATGGCCAAAAAAGGAGCGTTGGCACTGATTAAATTTAGAGACCAGATCCTGGGCATCCCCTCCTTGTCTAGGTGAGTTTTGGCAAAGAAGAAGAGAAGCTGTGAATGGGTGTTTTATACAAAGGAATGAGCAGCCTGAGTGCCACCAGAGCTCTCCTGGAGAGACAGAAACAGCAGGACCAAGTGGGAGGCTGGAATGAGGAGGGGAGAGGATTGTGCATAAATTAGCATGGAGAAAATATGCAAATTGTTGGGTAGAGTGAGGCTCTCATGGTATTCAAAGGAGCTGGAGCTATTCTTGTCCTTCAGCTGCTTTTTGTCCTGCATCTTCTCCCAGCCAGGCTGGATTTGACTTGAGTTTGTTTTTATTAATGTCTCGAGCAAAGAGTAGAATTGATCTGACCCACAGCTCTGGGAAAAGGAAA